AAATGTCACAATAGCGTCGTGTCAAGCTCCTACCGTTGATTAAATCGGAAAGCCGCGCATACTTTCACTGACAGTCGTAGTGACTCATTGAAAAGGTATGGGGATGCAAAATGGTAAGCACAATCACTTCCGGGGGACAGCCGATGCACAGTGATGTGGAGGTGTAGTGTTTTGTAGTGTCACTGTTTTTATCCTCCCAGGCAAACCTTAACCCTTTTAAAAATCTCGTAGGGTAGAACGATCGGTTGGCATCGGTTGAAATCAGGTCCAGTATTTGACCAACGCACCGAGCGCGTGATAAGCGAACCACACGCCAGTGCACCACCACCCTTTTTCAGAAAGGTAATGAATTCTACTCAGGTGAATAAGGGACCTATACTTATATTAAGTGTCCGATTTATGTGAGAGGATAGAAACACTGGCTTGAGCTTTTAAGTTGTAGTTTGTTCTGCCAAAAAGGTCGGTAGGTGGAAGACTTTATTGAAAATGACCCACTTTTCGACTCTTACTAACGACTACTGACAGCGAGTGGCATCGTTCCGCTCATGTGGTGGTGGACTGGCCTCTGAGGACGACGATCCTGTCGAAACGTCAGGCCATTTATAATAAAGTCTTCCACCTACCAACCTCTTTGGCAGAACAAATTACAACTTAAAAGTTCACAATAATGCCGAGGTTTATGAAGAGAGAAGCTGGACACTGACTTGAGCATCAGCTCACTCTCACAACCTTTGCACGAAAAATGCCACGAAATTGCACTCAAAAATGCCATGGACTCCCAAAGAAAGGATTTGCGCCGCTTCCCAAAAAGGAGAATTCCCAACGCCGAGGCTTCACTCATAGCTTTTTTATGGGAGCAGCTCTTAAATTTATAAATGAAACTCATTCACTTCCAACTTGCCACCACGTTTCGAAATTTTGTGTTGTTTTGCCTTTTTCTATTTGTACCTTGCCTTATACTACTGCAGCTGAGAAATCGGTTAGCAGCATTCTGAGATTCGAATCGAACGCTTGTCAACCGTATGCCTTGTTAAATGTGAGAAATTCCCATCGATGTCGTACATCTACGATCGGGAACAGCTCAATGAAGCAGTAAACTTATGGAATTACGAAATTTGAGTTCATTTCCCAAGATAGCCCGGACCAAGCAAGCTGCTCCCTAGGACGGGAATTGGTACCAGATTCGGCTGGAAGGATAAGGACACTGAACTAGTATATCCGAGAAAATGGCGACCCCTCCAACAACGAAGGCAAATTACGAACCCCCCCCCCCCTTTACAAACGTCCGTGAAACAAGGAATCGACCCCCTCTTCCGCAGTTCGACTCGAAAATACGACCCCCCCCCTTTCGCTCGCTTTACTGGGAACCCCCAACAACAATGTCCTGATATCGGCTGGCCACCGCAAGTCATTGTATAGGCCACATCGCATTCAATAAACCACTACGATTCTGAATGGAAGTAGAATGCGTGCCGCATCCCACAAAGGGATGATCAAACAGCGGTGAGGAGTTCTCGTATACCCTACTTTATTTCCAAAATGGATGCACGAAAATTGATTCCCTGGGCTTATAGAGAATTCACAGCTGCGATGGCTATGGACGGCTCTCAGCACCGTCAAGAGCACTAATTGGAGTTGACAGTGCGACGGCGAGGAAATGAAGCCAGCGCATGAGTAGTTCCCAGAGGCTTCCTCTTCTCGCCGTTAATATACTGACGACGTAGGACGACGGATGTAATTAGTAATGCATGCGTTATGCATAGGTTTCAATGAAAGGAAACGTCAGCCGAATAATCTTAATATACTATTCTTGATAATTTTGAGTCTCATCAAAGAGAGTTATGGGTTTTTTCCGGCGACATTGGAAAGATTTCTGCGTTTTCGAAAAGATTTTGAAGTAGCTGTTCCGAACTACCACCATGTAATTTTTCTCAACACAGAAACTAAAACTGCACAGTTTCACCACGCATTTTTGGCAGAATTAGCGGGAGATTTCCGCTTTGGAGTAAGGGCCACGCATTTTATATCCAGAAATTCACTAATAATTTTGGGTTTTAGTGCATTCCATATGTGATAGAATGTTTGTCCACTCGTTTCACGCGCAAGGGCTCTTCTCCAGATACATCATTTTTGAATAAAAAAATATCTAGAATTACGGAGGGATCAAGGAGCTTGTGAGCTATGCACTTGCTTCTGAAGACATACCTACACAAGGACTACGTGATCTCCAAAAAAATGAAAGATTCAGGGATCCAATTTAGGAGCTGGATGATGCCCTTTTTTCTTACTTAGCTGGATTCCTTTGGTTTGGAACCGGTTGAACTGCAACGGGTCAAGGTGATGAAAAAGACAGAGATTGGGGGGGGGGCAACGTCATGTTATCTTTTTTGGATGCGCCATGCATCTGACGTCAAGCAGGGGTTGTAAGGATAGTTCAATGTAGAAGCTTGTAAAAGTCAGTTTATGACTAAATTGGCACCTTTATTGTCCTACACCAAACCCTTTCCAACCCCAGAGCTAGTGACGGCCCGAATTACCCAGATGGGGTCATTTTTATGGAGTGGGAGCGATCTGCCTCGTCTGGTCACTTGTCAGTCCTTAGCCAGATCGCTTACTTCCAACAAAATGTAGTGATCTAAAAAATAAAAATTACGAACCAAGAATGTCATTTGCGTCCACTTCACCGATCATCATGGTGGATGTTTTAGTGATCGCTTGTAGTATGATGAATAGCTTCTCCAGTACCGTAGCGTTATCATCCTGGAACCATGAAGTTCCATGAAACTGGTATTCTTCAGGAAGAGAAAAGTAAGTACGGCTTACAGTCTTCAAGCTCTCCCATGGCTCTGTACCCGAATCTCTCATGATCAGATGAAACGCAAACGAAAACGCGACCAATGTGGGAATCCATATGGTGGCGATCTGCACATATGTAGACGCTTTGCTTTTTCCTGTATTTTTTATAACTTGAGAACTCACGTGTCCAAACGAGCGTAATATACGGACCATCATAAATATGTAGATGCCGTAAGGGGATTTCCTTAGGATGTAGAGGAAATTTACCCATGCGGAAATGATTGCCACAATTGGCAGAAACCATAGGATAACTTTCTGAAATTAAGGACTGAGTTGAAGCTAGGAGCAAGGGCTCATTCCGTGATTGCGAGAAGAGGGCATTTCGCTTGAAACACCAGTTCAAAGGTGCTCATTGACTTACCAATGAAAAAGAGCAAAACGAGGGAAATACCCCCAGTAAAGCACGGGCAATTTCCAGTATCAGACGAGCATGTGGTGAATAGATGTGTAAGGCGCTGTTTGGCGACGGGGAGGGGGGCATTTTGCACTTTAACGACTTCCCATCGACGTGTCGACCCATCTAGACAGCCTCTTCTCGAGTTGACAGGTTTTACCATGATGGCTTGACGAGCTTGCTCCAGCTTCACAAGAGTTCACGAGTGAGACTTGTAAACCAGAACTAGTGAAGCAACGAAAGTGCAAAATGCCCCCCCCCCCCCGTCGCCAAACTGCGCCTTACACATCTATTCACCACATGCTCGTCTGATACTGGAAATTGCCCGTGCTTTACTGGGGGTATTTCCCTCGTTTTGCTCTTTTTCATTGGTAAGTCAATG